GGTACAAAGAAAAGCTTGCTCTATGCTATGAACCGAAAAACATAGAAGAAATGTGTACGACATAAAAACGCGTCCGACCGCCATGACCGCTCTTTTTTACCAAATCGGATCCATGTGACAGAAGCTTGAATCACATGTGATAACGTCAGCAAAAAACGTCCTTTGATCTTCCACGTGACAGAAGCCTGGATCCCATGTGACAAACTGTTCTGATTGACACATTTTTCGCATTTTGATCATTCTTAGTTGCAGAACAAATTTTCAATTTCCGGTTTGAGCCTCCCTGTTATAAACGTGGCACGCACGCGTAATACACAATCCACTGGTCACTGTCAAGATTAGGGTTGCGGGCCTCTCTTGGGCCCGCAACAATAGAGCTGAATGAGTAAAATTTATGGAAAAGAGCATATAAGTATGACACAGAAAGAAAAGCAACGCTCAAAAAAAACCAGAATATTGATGAAAGTAATGTCCATGAAAACAAAAGAATTAAATGAAGAAGCATCAAAGGCCAAAAAAAAAAGTTGTCCAAAGAAATCAATATTTCACAACTTTGAAATGTCACAAGAATAGAACTGTCTACTTTATAATTGATATTGGCAGAAACTGCACAAACAAAGCAATTCTTTCTTGATCACTTTTTATCTAAAAGAGATGTTTGCCAGTTGATGCACTTTAGATCACAAACATGTGATACAAAGGACAGTAATAATGGTCTTGATTGGGGTCAGTACTTTGATGACACTCTCTGTTGCAGAGGTCATCTTCTGACAGCAAATAAACATCTTTGGCATTTTTCTTGACATCCATTGTCAGGAAGATAGCTTCAAAGGGCTTCACCATGTCACAAGATGGGTTCCACCTAGTTGGTACTTCATTTACTTGTGTTGAGGCAATTCCATTAGAGATTGTTTTGATTTCAAAACTGCCACAGCTCTTTTGCTTCTATGGAAATAGCTTACTATGCGCCCTATTCTTCTAAGAAGCCTGTCCATCTGGGACACCTTGATTCCTTGTTGGGTTGCCAGATTGATCAAAGTTTAAACCCTTCATTTTCCACAAATGAATAGGGTCTCATGTCCTTTGTAATAAAAACTCTGATAGACATCTCAAGAAAATCAAAGTGTGGCTTCCCTTCCTCGTCAACATAACCAACATAGATTAACAATTGCTCTATGGTGGCACAATCTGTAACCTCATCAACTAAGATGCTGAACCACTTGGCATCCTTGACCCTTCAAATTAGCTCCTCCCTGATAAGCTGACCAAGGAGGAGGTGCATGTCAGAGAGCGTAGCTTCTTGTTGGCTACATCCTCTTTTGTGAACCAATCAGAACTTAGGAAGGCATTGTATGTGATTTTGTCAGTGACTTCATGAGCCTCTTTGTGCTGTTGAGACAAGGATGAATTCCTTTTCTCTAATTCAAAGATTGTTGTTGCCATGTGTCCACTGGCTCTTGCATGGTCACTAACAGCACTGTGCTTGTAGTTGGTGGATGGTGCAAAGTTGAATGTGTTTTAATTATTGTACTTGTTCTTAGTATTATGTACATGGCACAGTAGGCAGAATGTTCCTTCCCCTTTGCAGTATACCAACCATCACATGCTAACATTAAAACCTGCAGTGTCTCTGTGCCGAATACAATAAACTGATATTTAGCTGCATTGTTGAAACAAACTCTAATTTGTACTGGGCATTTTTGAAATGATGGTACCCTCCTTTCGTATTCCAAAAACTTAGGTTTGGAAAGACAAAGTTGACTGAAGTAATTTGATAATGGAATCATTTGCTGTTATGTCCAAATTTGCCTTTTCTAGCCTCACTTCTACTGTTTGCACTCAATTTATCACAATGTAGTTGTGATTGTTGTTTCTTGAATAAAACTGAAGATTTGCTTATTTTATCTTTTAAGTACCTCTGATCTGTAGCTTTGTTATGAGTAATGCTGTGATCATCAGGCTGTACACTTACTTCCCTTCATTTGTCTGACTAACACCACAGGCAATTGAAAATCATTACTGTCACTTCCATGGTAAAAACCTGATTCTGGGATTTTTTGACTCTACGACATTGTTGAAGGCTTCATTACGTTGTGAATTTGTTGCTGGGGCTAGTTGTTTAACCATAATATCTGTTGAATTGTCATCAAAAATAGCATTCAAGGCTGCCTCCAATGCATCACCATATAAATCCTGGCCAAATGGCAGTTCACTGTGTCTATAACTTAGCAGGTCCTTTTTGAATGGACAATGGACACCATAATTCATCACACTTTTCATGTTTCCCAAATGCATACAGTGTTTTTTATGGCTGCTTGAAGTGAATCTGCATCATCTTTGTTGTAGGCCACACAGTATCCAAAACACTTTCCTAAGTAATTAATCACTTTTGTTGAAAGTGTGGAGCAGCCTGGAAATTTTCTTCTGACTTGAGCTTGTACAACCTTGAAGTAAAGGACTGTTTTGTATGAATGATATTATACTGCTTTTCAACATGATAGGAAGCCTTTATGCATTTGTTTGAATGAGTTGTGGTGTCATTATCAACAGTGTAAACATTATATTTAATTTTGGACATTGTTGCCCTCGGAAATAGGTCAACAACCACATCTGGCTCCATGCTTTTGGATGTACCACCAGGCTTTTTACGACAATCATGATTTCTTGGTTTTTGATTCTTTTTGGAGGTATTTTTGCAGATCCTGCAGGGTTTACTCCTTGCCTAAAAATAAAAAATCTTTCCTATGGACAATCCCATAACTGCTCCATGCCCAGTGTTTGAACTGTGGCCACCGTTACATCTCTGCCAGGCCATATCATATGAAACTGCAGCTCCTATTAGACTATTTTGATCACCAGTACCTCCAGCTGTGACAAATATTTTTTACCGTTTGTATGAATTCTTGGTCCAGAATAATATTTGAAAATGTTAAAAGAAATCATATTTGTTTAATTATAAAACAGGTTTCTGAATACTACCATATATTTCATCCAAAAAATAAACCATATTTATTTTTTAAGACTTGTCAAATGTGATTGCCTTTTTTGCTTGAAAAAAGTCATCCCTTTTGAAGGGCAGAGATATATGGTTTGAGAAAGTACAAGTCTAAGGTTTTTCCAGGAAAGTGTGTTTAATATGCTAGGCGTAAACAAACTTGGAAATCATATCTTATTTTTACATGAAACAGGATAATTATGATTATTGCCTGTCTTTTTGGTCTAGGGTTCTTTTGTAAAAGTAGAAGAGGCTAGACTTTTACACAAGTTGCTTATTCCACATCAGTTTATGAGAGTCTGTTTTAAATATCGGCTATTCACCTTCAAGAAAAATCATGCTTTATAACATTCAGTGATGTTAACAAAGAAAACAATATTTGAAAATATCTACAAATTTGATGACTGTCATATTCGCAGTTGTGTTCACTATGATGAATCACTGGATCTTCTTTCTCTGGTTGTTATTGTAGCGCAGCATAACAGAAGCTTCAACAGTTTCCTCAAGTGCATTCTCCTGTAGATGGGTGTAAAAATGATTCATGAGGCTGAACACTCGTTCAG